GTAAGATTTTAGAAAAAGATTAGAGGGAAGAACTATTTTAAATTAGCTAAAGGAAGTAACTATGACTATATTTGAAGAAAACAGAGATGACAGAAAAGGTGGTTTGGTAAACGGTTTTCAAGGAGTTGAAGCAGATATGATGACGGGCTAAATGAAAGGGCTAAATTTAAGTAGAGAAGATATCTTTGGATGTAGGGGTAAAGACAATGTAAGGAAACAGTAGTTTTAACAGTGGGGAATGGAATATATTGTTGATGTAGGGCTAAGGAAGGTGATGGACAGCTCTGGTGATAGAAATACTAAGAAAGGAGATAAAGAGCAATAGTTTAAAAGGTGCTCTCAGCTTCCCAGTCAACTTGGACAATGCTACAATCTTTTATCCTCCAAAGAAGAAAGTCAGATAGGCTGGTGGAGAAATGATGAACAGTTTAGTCTTCCTTATGTTTAATTCAATTAACAAAGGCCATAGGGTGATATATTTTACATATTCTAAACCACACAGGAATGGATCATCAGGCAAACGTGTCTGCCAACAAAGATACTGTCATCAGTACAATTAGGGCTAAGTGAACCTGCAGTAGCATCGCATTACACCGTTCATCAGATAAGACTAAGAGTTTTGTTTTGTTTTTTTAGATAAATATCTTTCATCAACTTGCATCTCAGTACATTTATGTCATTGACTCTATTTAGAAAAGATTCTATTTTACCACAAATAACAATGCCTAGTGTTGTTATAATATTCTCTATCAAATATGAATTACTTGGTATATTATCTCATTAAGCCTGTGTTTGGAATTTCTAGATAATATAGCTTAATTACATATATATATGTATATACATACATACATATATATACATACACACACACACACACACACACACACACACACACACACACACGCCTAAGTGACCATCGCAACCGAACAGACGACCGAACAGGCTGTGTGGGGTGACTAGGCTGGCAGGGGGGTTAGTGAGGGGCGACCAAATGACCAAGCAGCAGGCTGCGTGGGGCAACCAGGCCCGCAGGGGGGTTAGTGAGGGGCGACCAAAAACCGAGGAGAAGGCTGCATGGGGTGACCAGGAGAAGG